GTGTATATATATGTATATATATAAAATTTACAATTTTTTTGACAACAGGATGTGGAAATGCCTGCGCAAAAACCATTGCCTTCAAAATAAAAGAAAACTTTGGCCCACTCAAACAAATCTATCGAATACATGAATAAAAAGGCAAGCTGGTAAATTATAAATTATTTTTCTCATTTCGGTTAAACAACCAAACTCGTTTATAGTAATACAGTCAAATGTTTATGAGAATAAAACGATGACTGGTATAGTTTTATTTTGAAAACAAAAACCGGAAACACCGCTTGACTGTAAATCCCGCAGGGAGGACAGGGGGGAAAACAGTGGGCATCTACAGTAAACTGTGCGGCGCTTCGAGCCCGCTTCGTCGCCACAAATTCGGGATGAGCCCGTGGTAATAAATACGCACCGCTGGCTTAATGCCGCTGTCGTCCCGCAGTGCCTTCGTGAGTCCGGACGGGCCCAAAGCAGCCGCCGCCATGGCCTCTGTGTTCCCCCGCTGCACATCTGTCAGACTCCCCGCTTCGGCCGCTGTCAGCCTGCTGCTGCTCCTGATGTCGGTGAGCACCGTGCAGTCCTCTCAAGGCGACAAGGAGCCGGTTTATCGGGACTGTGTGAAGCTGTGTGTCCGGACGAACTGCACTGGAGCTCGGCTGCGGGGCTTTGAGTCCACCCAGCCGCAGTACATGGCGCTGACAGGTGAGTCGTAGCTGCCAGGTGAGTTAAGCTAACTTAGCTACATCCTATGGCTGCCAACTAACAGGTTGACAGTGTTTCCATGCATCCTGATGGTTTTTATTATCTCTCATCGTTTCTCACGGCTCTTGTGTCTCTTCATTCACTTTCCCCTAATATTTTAGACGCTTAATGGAAATTCTTACAGTTCAAAAACCCATAAAACTAGTTTTTCTCGTCGAGCAAGAAGCTACATTAGTCATGGTCCGTCCTTGTTCATCTAGTATTGTTTGTTTGTGTGGTCAGCTGGATTCAAACGACTTGCCACACGTTGTTGTTGTTGTTGTTGTTGTTGTTGTTGTTGTTGTTGTTGTTGTTGTTGTTGTTGTTGTTGTTGTTGTTGTTGTTGAAAGTGATGACAGAAAGGCCTCTTTTTTCATTCATTTTTGAAAACATTTTAGGGCTTAGTTGTTGTTTTGTATATTTATTTTAAGATTTCCACACAGCAGTGTCATAAAAGTCTTATTTTGTTTGTCTTGTGTTGCAAAAAAAAATCCCTTTTAAGTTGATTTTATAAGTTGGAGAATTGGAATTAAAGCCGATTGGTGTGAGGTTGTGTAATAAAATGGCAACGTAATTTAGATTTAAAAAAATCTGTTGTTTTTTCTTTATTTTATTCTTTTTTCTGAAGAAGAGTGTTTTTTTTTTTCATTCAACAAACTGATTATTTTTTTCATCAGACTGAGCTCAACCACCCGTGCCAACCTTGAAATTTTTCTGTGTGTTTCTGTCTCCCAGGTTGGACGTGCCACGATGACTGCAGATATCAGTGCATGTGGACCACTGTGGGTCTTTACCAGGCTGAGGGTTACAGAGTCCCACAGTTCCATGGCAAGGTTAGTCCCTCTAAGAGGCCTGAAACATGCTTTCACATTGAAAGAAAAACGATTAACGTGTTCGTTTACCTTTTACATGTTTGTACCAGATCGAAAACACACCAGTATATGAATGTTTGAATGTGAAAAGAGTTCATACAACCACACCAGAGCGCTCGGTCTGAAGGCAGTTTATTCTCAGTTCAGCGTTCAGCTCATCAGTTCAGGAAGTCACTTCATCATAACATCATCTTCAGGACCTGACGCTGCCCATTTTTTATTGCGTCATCATAAATGGCCAGGCCACGGCTGAAAGAGAGGTCCTCATACAAGTTTTTCTGTTCTAATGATAATCCAGCGGTTCAATTAAGTGTTGACGGTATGTTCAGGCATGTATCTTATCTATTATTATCTCCTGCCCTGTGTAACTATATTTATAGCCACTCAGACCAGTCTGTACTCAAAATCATCAATTAAATCACACACTAGTCACACAACGGTTCATAAAAATATATCATTATTTACCTAACAAAAGATTATAAAATATGTAGTGCTTTTAAAGGGATCTCCGATTAGTTGTAACATTAGACTTTATTTAATAAACATATATTTTAACTGTAAAATAAAGACTGTAAAAATACTGTAGGCTGTTTAATCTTGGACAATATCTGATATCGAGTCTTTTAAATGAAACCAGAGAGCGTTGACAGAGAGAAGGTAGAAATGACTCAGCCTGGAACTGAAAATATGGATGGAGGACAACAGAGCTGCTTCATGGAAGAAGAACCTCAGCTTAGCCTGTTAGCCTTTAGCATTAGCACCAACGCTAGTGTGAAAAGCTAACAAGTTAAACTGTTGTCCTCCATCCTTATTTTCAGTTCCAGGCTGAGTCATTTCTACCTTCTCCTCTCTGTCAACGCTCT